ACACACACACACACACACACACACACACACACACACACACACACACACACACACACTCACTCACGCTCATACATACAACGCACATGCACACACGTAGACAAATGCTCATGTTCCTGTCCGGGTACTGTGCGACGGAAATCTGTTATAATTACTGCTTTAGCACGCGCTGCTTGTATAGGACATACTACGACGTAGTGATGTTGCCCGTCCTTAGATGGTTGGCTTTGAAGCACTTGCCTCAGCGATGCTCATAATGACAATATCAAAGCCTCGTCAGCTGCCGACGCTGACAGCTCGGAGATAGCTTGACGCTTCTGTGGCAGATTGAACGAATACCCATCAACCGGCCCTTTCATACTCAGACTAGAAACTATCCTCCATGTATCTGGCCTGCTTGACGGCCACCTTCCTTCAGAACTAGTCTAGGCTATGTCCTACCTAAGTCTACTCCCCGCTGCTTGGTCTCCAACTTCCAATTCTTTCTCTAAGATCCTAAACCCTAAACCCTAAACCCTCAATCCTTAACCCTTAATCTTAAACCCTCAGCCCTGAACTCTACTAGAGGTGGATCAGGGCGGGACGGCACTTCCCCCCTTCTACATCACAACTATCTGCAGTGCAACTCTGTCAATGCGTGCCTATGTAGTGGTGACTGTATTGGTATGAGCATGTGCCAGATGAGCATTGATGTGAGCGCCGTTGTTTGGCTTTCAGTGACGATGTTAACCTCAGCATTATCGCAGGAGATAGTGGTTGAACAAGGGTAGGGCTCAAATGGCACCCCTATCCTTATTTTCTAGTCTTGAAGAAGTCGAACTACGTATAGCTTGAAGGCTCGAGGTGCTGGTGAAGGGGATCACGTCTGAAACTCAGTGAACTTCCGAAGTCCAGCCGGCCGATCTAATTCCATTGTCCATTGCGGCCTATCCTCTTCTGCTCAATCTATCGTAGTGGTGTCCATGACAGTTTCTCATCTTTATTCTTTCTGCTCAGTCCATCGTAGTTGTCTCCATGACAGTTGCTTCCAACTAGCTGTCCATTATGTGTTGACATATGGTAGCTGTCCCTGCATAAAACTTGGGAATCTAGGGGGTCCGGTGTTATAGGAACGCCCGACCCCCAGGAGCCAAAAATTTGGACCGGATTTCGGCCAAAAAACTCAATTTTAATTTCGTTCAAAAAATATAATATGTCCATTTTGACGAAATGGCCGTTGGATGTGATAATGGGTATGTGGGAGGGAAAACTCCGTAGGGGGGCAACATGCATCCCCTTGATTGTGAGAGGTAGCTATGCTAGGAGGGGTCCCTTGTATAGGCTTAGTAAGTTAGTAGTAGTGATAGTTGGGTAGTCAGGGTGAATTTGAGAGAAGAATTTAGGTTAGTTCTATTTAAAAAAAAAAAAAAAGGAAAGGGGCAACGGTGGCCACGACGCAAACGAGTTTCAAATAGTAAAAAAAAACGTGCACCCGCAAAACAAACAGCCTCCGAGTTCGAAAAGGCAGTGAAAGCACCACGACTGTGACAGAGGCACAGATGTCTTAACTACAGGAGTGGGCCGTGGTGCCAGACAGGAAAGGGCATTGGGGGGTGGGAGGAGGGGGGGGGGGGGGGGGGGGGGGGGGGGGGGGGGGGGGGGGAAGGGGAGGTGAAGGGGAGTCTATTTTTGATTGAGATTGCTATTTCAGACATGCACCATGAGCGCAGTGCCCCGTAGTTTTTTTTTTTGCCTTTCCAAATTCAAAATACACCACGTCCGCCTTTGTTTCACAAAAAGAACTTGGTACCGCTATAAGATAGCTCAAGTTCAGGACGTATTTTGGGGGGGGAGGGCGGGGCGAGGGGGGCGCAGGTGCCCCGCACCTCGAGACCCTCAGTGGAGAGGAGAAGCCCAACTGCGAGAACATCCCTCCAGACTCTGAGTTTGTGCTGGCTTCATTCACAATAGAGAGCCTCACTGGAGAGGAGAAGACTGACTGCAAGAACAGATCTCCAGACTCTTAGTTTGTGCTGACTTCATTCACTATTGTAATGATATAACATCTAGTGATACACGACAGGTCACTCAGTCGTACAAACATACAACTTGTGGATCATCAGACCCAGAGCTCGGGAGCCACAGTCTGAATCCTGGCATTTAGTTATGAAATGGATTCCTCTATCTTTGGCAGCAAAACCTCCATCGAATCTGATATCACAGACTGCCAAATGACTGCTTCCACAATCTCTTTGCATGGTCCACTGCAACAATGCCCGATCGTCCATGTGACTATCAACTTATCACAACAACAGATAGATACTGTATGTTACAAGCTCGCCGCGTCTTTTCCTGATGTTAAAAAGGGGAGAAGGTCAGATATATCCCATTTACAACCGACCGGGTCGAAATTATTTCCTCATCAGAATGCACATGGGCATACACCAGTCTGGGTGCGGAGTGGCATCTGCTCATCCATCATGATGTGCAAATGGCCACGTAGTATTATGTGGGCCATGCAGTACTGCATTGGGTATGATGATCGACTGACTACCGTCGTCACCCGAATATAACGCCCGGTCATTATAGTGAAACGGTATTCACCTGTTCGCAGTAGCCGATGCAGATCCCAGGGCTCGATCCCTAGTCCTCACCTTATCTGTGTACAGTATCTGTGTTGACCCCTGGAGTTGAACCCGTGACCTGTGTATTTGTAACTGTTGGTAGACTGTCGTAGGGTCCGTAGGTAGCAGGGGTTCGATCTGTAGACCTGTCGAGTTGAAGTCTTAGGGAGTTCTAGAAGTCGTAGCTGTAGAGCTTCCGAAAGGTCAAGGTCGTAGCTGCTACAGTCCAGAAGCGTCAAGGTCGTAGCTGCTACAGTATCGAAAGGCCAAGTCCACGGCCTTCCGGAAGGTCCTAGCAGTGGCCTTTCGAAGTTGCCCACGTTTAGACTGAGGCAAGTGGGCAAGTGGTGGAGTCTACCCGTGCTGAGTCAGCAGTCCCAGTCCCAGTCAGTCTGAGTCCTAGTCCAGTCCAGCAAGTACCGTGCGGGACTGTGTGCACTACGGGCATGGGAAAGGGCCAGACCAGCGAGCTACGGAAGTATAAATCAAAGGGCAGCGTCCGGCCATTCATTCATTCCTGTGGGAGCCATGCGGAAGCGCTGCCACAGCGACTTGTGCGAGGTGGTCTGCAGTGAGCCTGAAGACGAAGTGGGCGAGTGAGAAGAAGCTTAGCCATAGCGATAGGATAGCAGCGGCCATAGCCGCCATAGCTGTAGGTAGAGTTCAGTGTGTGTGTGTGTGTGTGTGTGTGTGTGTGTGTGTGTGTGTGTGTGTGTGTGTGTGTGTGTGTGTGTGTGTGTGTGTAGCACTGTGTACAGAGTATCACGTGTGGGATATCCAGGGCGATCTTGTGTGTGCGAACAGAGAGTTGTGTGGGCACTGTGTCACCATAGCCATCGAAGTGAACTTGTATCTGAACTGTGTTCTCGGCTACCATATCTCTGAGTTTTGAGTGGGCGCTTATCGCCAGTTTGCTGCGCACCTGTTTGCATGCATGTGAAGAGTGACAGATAGCGAGTCTGATTGCAATAGCTGTATTTGGGGCATTTTTCAGTCCAGATGCAGCGCTAATGACCGGGCGTTATATTCGGGTGAAGAACTCCAACGCATGACTTTTTGCGCCCATCGTTTTGCTCAGTAATTTTTATTTCTGCAGTGCTTTTGCTCGGATGTGTCATCTGTGTCTGGCTGGCTCTTTCCGTAGGATGGTAGAATAGGATAGTTTTGAAAGTTGAATGCATTTTGTCTTTGAAAATTCCTTTCTGCAATCTTGCTCACATTCGGTTTTAGTTTTCCGAACCTTAGCAAGCACATGTGCGCCCTGTGAGAATAAAGGCAGCACAAGTTTTCTTTTGGCAGTTTACCTGACATGCTTCCATCATTTTTTTTCCCCGCATCATCTTGAATTTTGATTCCTAACCCATGACTCCTTCCCCTATCCCCGTCACGTTTACCCTTACCCTTACCCTTACTTTTCTCTTTCTACCATCTTAGCTCTCCCATGCATCCTTGTGCCCGTCCTTTTTTGTGCATTCTCTAACTGCCGCTCTCTTTCATCCATCTCCTCTCTCTCTAACTGCCGCTCTCTTTCATCCCGCTCCTCTCCTTCCTCTCTCTCTCTTCTCCCCTTCATCGGATTTGCCCAAGAATCATGGATGACTATTCGCTGCATGGACTTGGGTTACATGCCGTGGGCTATAACCCAATCATGCAGCATGATCGCAAAACCCTCCTCTCTTTCCTCTTACCCTCATGCCCCTCTTGCACCTGAGACACTTGCTCTTTCCCCTTTCCTCCCAATTATA